TATTGTTATGTAAGTATGAGGGTTAGATTATTTAGTGTACAGGTCATTTCAAGAGTGATAAACAAAGTGATAGAAAATATTTATTATACATATTACGTATACGTATACATGGTTATAAGTATAACAGTTAATATTTGATTAATTTAGGGAAATTAACAAGTGTCTTAGTCCTCAAGGGACTATTTGGCCAACCAGCTTGTTCCTGCTTGAAAAGCAAAATATTATTGATAGTGTAAAAAACATCAACTTTGAAGCACATGTGATTGATGGACTAGCATTACTCAACCTTACTTACTACCTTCCAGCAATGCTACATTCAATGATGGTAAAATAGTAAAAAAAAAAAATAATAATAATAATAGTTCATTTAAATGGAACCGGAATCAGAACCGAAATCGTTAGGAAAAACTGGAAGCGGAATAGGAACCAGAAAATTTCTAACGATACCCAACCCTAGTCATTATAATCTGTAATTATGTCTAGCATTACTCAACCTTACTTACTACCTTCCAGCAATGCTACATTCAATGATGGTAAAATAGTAAAAAAAAATAATAATAATAATAATAGTTCATTTAAATGGAACCGGAATCAGAACCGAAATCGTTAGGAAAAACTGGAAGCGGAATAGGAACCAGAAAATTTCTAACGATACCCAACCCTAGTCATTATAATCTGTAATTATGTCCCCCCTGGATGCAACAAATACCTCGTTTATAATAGGTTTTATTGTTTTTGTCTCGTTGCACTGGGACACAGCATCACAGTATGATAAGGGGCGTAACATTTCCGTCACACGCTTGAGGTATTCGGCCAATCACAACGCACTGGATAGCTGGCCAATCAGTAAACACCTCGCTTTTCAGAACGATGAGCTTTGTAAAAAATGTACGCATTTCAGAACAGCGGGCACAGAGGAGAAACAATAATGTACAGTATGTGGAAAATAATGTGTTTTTTTAACCTTAAACCACATAAACACATTTCATTAAACCAAATACACAAAATAATGTTATTTTTTAGCAACATCATATGACCCCTTTAATACCACATGAGGTAAATGTAAATAATGTAAATAATAATAATAATAATTGTATAGTCATAGTTTATGTTAAAAAGTAATTTAGTTCAGTTAAACATTTCTGTTACTGTTTATTTTAGATAAAGATTTGTCTAATTTCTTACATTGAAATTTGATATTCTCATTCAAATACCCCCTCCCCCTTTTTTTAAACAAATCACACCCCATGTATATATACCCATTTATGTATACATATACTATGCATATATGCAAATGAAAGCTAAATATGTATATATTTAGACTAAACTGAATTAAACTCATTCTAGTAGTTGTGTCTTGTAAGTTAGTAAGAAAGTATTTGAAATATGTAAAATGTTAAAAATGTCAATGGTAGAAGTCGGTCTTACTGCTGGTCCTGGAGGTCCTGGTGGGCCTGGGAGCCCAATTCCTCCTCTTGGTCCAGGAGGACCCTGGAAAATTCAATACCATAAATAACACTTAAATTCAGGTACCAGAAACAATCAACATAGCTACAACAACAAGATTAAGTATGAAGACGTATATTTAATGCCAAATTCACACTGCAAAGGTGGCAAAGAAGCGCTTCTGAAGTGGCATTTAGTTATCTTTACACAGTTTGTTTAATGCAGCTCAGAGGTGGCATGAATGCATTTACACAGCAATGATAACTATACACTTTGATACCAGGGGCTGAAGTGGGTCAAAGCAGGCATAATTTAGCCTGGCTTTTAGCATTACGTCTTCTGAGCAGGCACAGAGCAGCCTTAACTCTCTGTGCTTATGTGTAAAGATGCCTTTATATGTGTCTTAGTGTATTGTGTGCCACTTTAAAATTAATTTTGACCTCTGGTCCGATGTTTCCCTCGTCTCCTGGAGTACCAGGCTTCCCTGGGGTTCCCTGCATGAGTGGAAAACAGTGTTAAAAAGTGAAAATGTAAAATTAAAAGCTGAGAGTGAGACAAATTAAAGTAAGACCAGGTTTATTTTACATACTGGAGGCCCAACAGTCTCTGGTCCCTAGAAAAAGAAAATACAAAAGTCAAATCTTCAGAATGAATTAATTTGTCTTAAAAAAGGCATTGCAAAATCATTATTTACTTTGCAAGCAAATACAATCAAAAAGACAAGAAAACAATAAGACAACACAATGTCAACAGGATACAAACACATTTAGCATTGAAGGATTTGATTGCTTTCCTAAATGGGAAAAAAAAAATACTCACAGGGGGTCCAGCGGGTCCAGGGAAACCAGGGAGACCCTACAAATTAAGGTGTTTAATGTTTTTTTAAAGAAGTTTCTAATGCTCATCAAGGCTGTATCTATTTGATCAAAAGAGACTCCATTAATAAACTTACTGATTATTTAGCTGCAAATTATGCAGAACCACACACAAAAAAAAACTTTTTATTCACTTTGCATTGTTTTACATTATTGCAGAATTATTGTCTATTAAGATCTCTTACTCTTTCTCCCACCAGTCCTCGTGGTCCCATGGGGCCCATCGGCCCCTACACACATATAAAAAGATTCCACAGTGATTCATTTAGCACAATGACATATTAGAGTTTGTGTGAAACTGATGTGTAAATCTGTAAAATATTGAGTGTTGTTATTAAATGGTAAAGGTTATGTGTCTCAGTACTAACCATTGGTCCCGGGGTCCCCTGCAGTCCCCTCTGTCCTGGCAGTCCAATCTCTCCTCGATCTCCTTTACTGCCCTACAACACACAAACAGCGTTATCATCATTCAGTATCGACTGCAGCCGTTGCTAAGATACAGCGGCTCTATGCTAACATAATTAGACATGCTGGACTCCTCGGTGCATCTGTCCTCATCTGATAGGACCAGAGTCAGATCTGAGCAGTGTTTAAACTATTTATGACACACCAGATGATGGTGCAATTCAACCACACTTTCCCTTAATAGATATTGACACAGGAAGCTGGATTGATTGGGTGGGTTTCAGATCTGGCAACCTGTAAATTCATTTTCTGATTAGGAGTTATAATACAAAACTGTTTATTGGGTACAATGTTCAAGTTCAATAAAAGCAATATTCAGTGTTACTGAATAAACTCTACATTTTCATTTTAGTCTAATGAAATTTATCTCATACAAAATATCGTATAATGCAATGCACTGCCATGGGACATTCTTCAAATCTAGTTCTCAGAACTCTGTTCTTATTTTTCAAGGAAAATCCAGCATCCCTCCATTATTATTATTAGCAGGTTTTTTTTTTATTCAAACACTATTCTCTAAAGATTTTTTTAAATAATAATTTAATAAATTAATAAAAGTTTTTTTTTATTCAAACTTATGCTCTTTTCTAAAGATTTGTTAAAATAATAATTTAATAATTATCTGCACATATTCATATTGTGCTTCCAACTTATTTTGTATTACATTATATTTTTTTAGCTTACAATTAATATATTTTTAGTGTTTTATTTTTAAACATTATTTTTAAACAAATACTTATATCATGATTATAATCTTTGTAGAAATGTAATGTTTATAAGCTTTTCGTTTTATTTTTTGTGCAGATTTAGATATCAGCTTTATAATTTTTTAGGTTACGAACTATTTCTTTTAGTGCTTTATTTTTAAGTATAGATTTATATATACCAGCTTTATAATCTTTGTAGCATACACTACTTACTGTATTTTAGTGGGGTTTTTTATACAGCACTTTTATAATCTCTGTAGCATACATACAATTTATTTTACTGCATTTTTAAAAGTATAGAATTATTCTATTAGCTTTGTATCTTACAAACTATTTATTTTTAGCAGTTTGTTTTTAATAGTATAGATTATATCACTTATAATCTTTATATCTTACATTTTATTACATATTTTGTAGATTTAAATGTAGATTTATATATACACGATTGTGTATCTTATTTGTCTTTTAGTAGCCTATTTTTTGAATATATATATATATATATATATATATATATATATATATATATATATATAATAGTACAGTATAATAGTAAATAAAACTAGTATTAAATTATATGTCTCCTTTCTAATCTTTGTAGCTTAAAAACGATTTGTTTATTTAATTGTTTGTTTATTTATTTTTATTTTTTATTCATATATCATCTTTAAAATATGCCGTAACATGAAAATAATTATTGATTTATCAGTGTTGGTCTGAATTTCAATATCGGTTCATCCCTTTTGTTAACTCTAGGTCAAACTAGTATGCATCTTGTTGAGTGTGACCCCCAGCTGAGTTTAAGAACAATGTCTTCTTGAAGAGATTGGAGATGAAGATGTTCTTCCAATGTTTCACACTTACCAGAGCTCCAGGAGTGCCGGGGGTACCTGGAATACCCTGAAGAACAGAAAAAAACAACAACAAGAAAAGGACACTATTTGTTAAAAAACAATAAGTAAGTCAGTGAGACAGGACAGAGGTGTTGACGTAAGAAAATCTCTAATGAGCAGCTCCTGCCTTCCTGAAAAAAAGAATAAACCCTTAATGAGCTGCCTGAGACGAAAGAAGGCCAAAGACGAAGTGCTTCATTAGCTTGTGTTGAAGACTGAGCTGCTGAAGTCTAAGGAATGGCTCTAATGGAGATTTACACCTGATTTTCAGCACAGGAAAAACTCTGGACTATAGATGATGACAATTCAGAACAGCATGAGTTAACAAGTACTGTACCGACTGATAATCATTTTGATTTGAAGATCAGTACATCAAATAAATAGGAAAACCTAATTATGTTACAACTGTTGACATTTCCTATTTTTCCAAAATAAATGTAATTAACAATTAATTAATATTTAACATAATTAACCATTATAATTAATAATAAATGAATACTAAATAAAACAAAAAATAATATATTAAGTTAAATAAATAAATGACATTTTTTTTTAAATAATATGCACCAGATAGTCAGTGAACATGTCAAGACTACTTTTAATTATTTTTATTTGTTTTAATGAGCAGAAAGACTTGCATCTCTCCCGTCTCTGCCAGGTTCTCCATGGGGTCCACGAGGCCCCTCAGGACCCTCAGGACCGGGGGGACCAGGGATCGGCTTGGGATCCGGCTGTAGAAGGTTGAAGGAGCAAAAGAAGGAAAACGATGAGTAAACAAAAACATGAATGTTTTCGAATTGATTTTATTATTTGCTTTAGCCAAATATAACCAATGTTTTTCACTGAACGCCAAAATCAATAACTGGAAGCGTTGCAAATAATCTCTCTCTACCAAGGACCTTAACAAATTACTTTAACACAACAAGGAATAAAATATCAATCATTAGCTCTCCGCTGCCAGCTTCTCTTTATATGCTCAATCTTTAAACGAGCCAAGTAACAACACATTTAGAAAATAACTTGTAGGGTTAAGAAAAATTCCCAGAAGATTTCTTAATAAAATAACACATTATTTACTTTGCGGCGTTAATAACCTCTAGCATATAAATACATAAAAGCTGTTCTGGGTCATGATTTGCTGACTGAAGTAAATATAGCAGGTGGCAAATGAGTCAATTCAGCAACAAAGCAGTGTAGTAGATTATTTGCTAAAATAATTTATTAATAGATAAAAAAAATCAATAAAAAAAAATCAAATACCTCAGCATTGGCATACATCTGAAGAAGCAAGAGAGAGAGATAATTAAGATTATTGCAGAGTTAGTGAAACCCCTTCACCAAAAAGAGAAAGCACACCTGTAGATGGCGCCACAACATGCGGCCTACAAAAGCGCCCCGGCCGGCCAACTCATCAAAAAACAAAGCAAATGCGTGAATTTTGACATTAATGCCAACTGTTCAGTGGTAAAGTGAGATGTTATGTGGTCTTTTGAGGCTTTTCCAGACTGCCACAGCAATAATATATCAATCTTTTTAGGCCATACATCAGTTATGCAGCACATGTATTAGAATGAGAGTAATATTGTTGATCATTTATTCAGAACTGTGAATAAAGTCTTAAATTGTACAATTGTATTTACAGTTATTTACAAAAATTAAATGGGTTGGTTCATCCAAAAATGAAAATTCTGTCAATTACTCACCCTCGAGTTGTTCCAAACCTGTATTAGTTTCTTTCTTCTGTTAAGCACAAAAGTTGATATTTTGACAAATGTTGGTAACCAAACAGGTAGCCACTGATGGTAGTCAATGACTACCATCAACTGTTTGGTTACCAATGTTCTTCAAAATATCGTTTTTAACCAAACAGTTGATGGTAGCTATTGCCTTCTCTGGCATGGAGAAAAAAATGTAATAAAATATTGAAGTCAATGGCTATCGTCAACTTTTTGGTTACCAACGTTCTTTAAAATATCGTTTTTAACCAAACAGTTGATGGTAGCTATTGCCTTCTGTGGTATGGAGAAAAAATAAATAAAAAATATTGAAGTCAATGGCTATCGTCAACTTTTTGGTTACCAATGTTCTTCAAAATATCTTTTTTTGTGTTCAACTGAAGAAAGAAACTGGGTGAACTATAATAATAATAATCATCAACTGTTTGGTTACCAATGTTCTTCAAAATATCGTTTTTAACCAAACAGTTGATGGTAGCTATTGCCTTCTCTGGCATGGAGAAAAAAATGTAATAAAATATTGAAGTCAATGGCTATCGTCAACTTTTTGGTTACCAACGTTCTTTAAAATATCGTTTTTAACCAAACAGTTGATGGTAGCTATTGCCTTCTGTGGTATGGAGAAAAAATAAATAAAAAATATTGAAGTCAATGGCTATCGTCAACTTTTTGGTTACCAATGTTCTTCAAAATATATTTTTTTGTGTTCAACTGAAGAAAGAAACTGGGTGAACTATAATAATAATAATAAATAATAATAATAATTCATTACATTTATATAGCGCTTTTCTAGGCACTCAAAGCGCTTCACATTGTCAGGGGGTATCTCCTCATCCACCACCAGTGTGCAGCATCCACCTGGATGATGCGACGGCAGCCATAGTGTGCCAGAACGCCCACCACACACCAGCTTATTGGTGGAGAGGAGACCGAGTGATGAAGCCAATCAGTAGATATGGGAATGGTTTGGAGGCCATGATGATCAGAGGCCAATGGGCAAATTTGGCTAGGATGCCGAGGTCACACCTCTACTCTTTTCGAAAGACATCCTGAGATTTTTAATGACCACAGAGAGTCAGGACCTTGGTTTAACGTCTCATCCGAAGGACGGTGCTTGTTGACAGTATAGAGTCCCTATCACTACACTGGGGCGTTAGGACCCACACAGACCACAGGGTGAGAACCTCCTGCTGGCCTCACTAACACCTCTTCCAGCAGCAACCTAGTTTTCCCAGGAGGTCTCCCATCCAGGTACTGACCAGGCTCAGCCCTGATTAGCTTCAGTGGGTAACCAGTCTTGGGCTGCAGGGTGATATGGCTATCCCATTAAAACCAGCCTAAGGTGGTCTGATGATCTTTGCTGACAAGGTTTGATAGTTTTAGTGGAGTTTTGGGTGCTTGCTGATGAGGATAGGAGACCAACAAACCACTTTTTATAAAAAGGCATAGTTAAAAGGTATAGTTACCTCAGACTGAGGAAGTTCGTTACAGCTTTCTCTGTGAGCTCTCTTTGGGTCACAGTGAATCAGCATCCACTGCAACTCAAACTGGAAAAACACAAACCAATGAAGTTATTTCTTTATTTGACTATATATAAACATATCCTAAACCACAAGGCTTTTATGTTTTACATGTATCAGAATTAGGTTTTCAGTTTTAAATCATTGACTGACAGCACTATCAGACTCATTTGTATCTGTCCTTTGGACAGGAAGTGACAAGGTGCTGAGGTCCATCAATCTGGCAGTTACATTGACTGATGGTAACACATATCAGACAGTGTGACAGTTACACAGACTGACAGTTGCATTTATCACAGGTAGTGACTGTAACAGGATGTGATGGATTTGATTGGTGCAGGGTGACAGTAACATTCATCAATTACAGTATAGATCCACTGCAAAACCTAATCAAAACACAAAAGAATTAAACTTTCCAAAACTTGAATCTTAGAAAGAATTAACCCTTCTAAAATATCAATCTGAGAATTAACCCTTCCAAAATTTGAATCTCAGAAATAATCAACCCTTCCAAAACTTCAATATTTCAATCTTAGAAAGAATGAAGCCTTCTAAAGAAACAATTAACCATTCCAAAATTTCAGTATTAGAATTAACCCTTCCAAAACTTCAATCTTTCAAAAAGAACACTTTCAAAAGAAGAATGAACCCTTTCAAAAATGTCATTCTTAGAAAGTATGAACCCTTTCAAAGAATTAACCTTTCCAAAATTTCAATCTTAGAATTAATCATTCCAAAACTTTAATCTTAGAAAAACTAACGCTTCCAAAGAAAGAATGAACCCTTCTAAAACTTCAATCAGACAATTAACCCTTCCAAAATTTGAATCTCAGAAATAATTAAACCTTCCAAAACTTCAATCTTAGAAATAATTAACCCTTCCAAAACGTCAATCTTAGAAAGATTTAAGCCTTCCAAAACGTCAATCTTTAAAAAATAACACGTTCAAAACAATTAACCCTTTCAGAAATTTCAATGTTAGAGTGTATGAACCCTTTCAAAGAGTTAACCTTTCCAAAATTTCAATCTTAGAATTAACCATTCCAAAACTTTAATCTTAGAAAAAACTAACGCTTCCAAAGAAAGGATTAACCCTTTCAACATTTCAATCTTAGAATTAACCATTCCAAAACTTTAATCTTAGAAAAAACTAACGCTTCCAAAGAAAGGATTAACCCTTTCAACATTTCAATCTTAGAATTAACCATTCCAAAACTTTAATCTTAGAAAAAACTAACGCTTCCAAAGAAAGGATTAACCCTTTCAACATTTCAATCTTAGAATTAACCCTGCCAAAGCTTAAATCTTAGAAAGAATTAACCCTTCCAAAACTTCACTATTAGAAAGTAATATCTTAAACTTAAAAGGTATATATTATGTCTGAATGTTTTACAAGCAAATATGGCAAATAAATATCTAATGCAATTTTGTTTTCGTACATCATCTACAGGCTAATGTATTTTATTCATCTTCATTACTTTGAAATGTAAAACTTTTTAGTGCACCTTTAAGAAAGTTAAATATATACTGTATTAGTAAATATTCAACAAGATTGAACTGGTGACTCTCACCACTACAGAGGTGTTGGGATCAGAATCCAATCTTCCGATCAGTGTGTCTCCTTCCGTGTTGACATAGCCCTTCCTTTTGATGGGTTTCTGGTCCACAGGGTGACAGTCCACATACAGTGTCACCAGCTCTTTCTCCACACCAACCATCACTTTGTGCCATTTAGTGTTGAAGAGGTCGTAAAGGCCTGGGAAGGTGACGGTCTGCACATCTCCCTCCATAGTGGTGAGGAAGAACTCCAGGGCCTGTTGGTCTCCATTCAGACGCATACCTGCCTGCTTTAAACCGTCTTCCTCCACTACCTGCCAGATGTTCCACACCTTGTTGACAGTGTTCTTGATCATGCGGAAGGTGGTCATGAAGGAGTACTCATCTGGGAAGCCCCTTGGAAAGTTCAGCCTGGTGGGCAACAGATATTGATATATGTTGAATATGTGTCTCTGTCTTATATTTCACTAGTGAATTGCAAGCAGCAATCAAGATACTGTTAGTTGTTTATCTGTTGTCTACTGTTAGATACAAAAATAAGGTGTACTGTTAAACTAAATGTAATGTAAACTTAACTAAATGTTAATTGTGTACTGTTATATGTTATAAAAAGTCAATTTTAAAGTAAGTAATATATATTTTAATGCATATGCATATTGAGTATGAATATGGTGTGAAGACGGGTGGTTTTAGTGAAATAAAATAAAATAATAAAAGAGCAAAACTATAATAAAAGATACAATAATATAAAATAAAAGAGTGAAATAAAACTAATTTAAAGAAATGGTGCATTTGTGTTAAAAACATTCTAGCGATTTTAAAGTTTCAAATATATATTTTATTTTATATGAATGTTGAGTTAAAATGTGCAAGTGGTTTTAGTGCAAGTTAAAATGAATAAAATAAAATAACAAAATAAACAGTGTGAAATAAATAAAAAATTAAATAAAGAGAAAATTAAATGAAATGGTACATTTGTGTAGTTTCTAGTGGTGAAAAACAAGGTTCTGAAACCGGTTTTACATTTTTAAATACATATATTCATCTAAACTGATATTGAGTTATGGTCCATGGCCGCGTGGTTTTAGTGAAATGAAATAATAGAGAGTGAAATTAATAAAATACAATAAAGAGAAAATTCAACGAAATTGTACATTTGTGGTAAGAACATTCCAGTGATGAAAAAACAAGGTTCTGAAACCTGTTTTAATTTTTTTAAATATATATTTTTATGTAAATACATATCGAGTTACAGTCTGTGGCTGGGTGGTTTTAGTGAAATAAATAAATACATTATACAAAATATACAAAATAAAATAAAATAAAGAGTGAAATAAAAGGTAAAAAAAATAAATACATTTGTGATGAAATGGTACATTTGTGTTACAAACATTCTAGTGATTAAATTCAAATGAGAAAAACGGCCCATTTTACAAACTAATAGCAGTTAAAATTGTGGCACATTTCTCAATAATTGCAAGAATTTCTCAAAATGTAATGTAAAAGCTTATGCTATAACGTTGCATTAATAGGTTTCTTAAACAGAAAGTGCTTCTGCAAATTCATAATGAAGTTACGTTCTTGTCACGAAGCACATCTATTTATAAAAGGGATCTATTACCGCTAAGAATAGTAATTCACCTCCATTATTGTCTGATCATCAAGGGAATAGCCCTGCATTATACACACAGAGCAGCTCGGCTTCAAGTTGCTCTGAGATAAAATTATGAATGCCAAATAGATCAGAGACAAGTGCACTTTCATCTTCAAAGCCTGTGTGTTGTCCGTGAGTTATTTCAAAGGGACAGTGCTGGCTTTCATTGCACGGTGTTAAAGAATCAGAAGCCGGGCCGCAGGCAGAGACAGAACACCACAGCATCTGAGAATCAATTACCTTGTCCGGTTTTACACACACCCTCTCCGGGGCTTGACCCGTGTGGCGTTTTAACGGGCTGAGGCGCTCTGCGGGAGATGCTCTTACAAATGAAGCTACAGCGCCCTTTAACCAGCTTGTAAACGGATCATGGCGAGGCCATAAATATGGAGCTTCCTGTTGGCTAGTAAAATAAATGAGGGCCACAGTTTGGAATAATCTCTAATCTCAAGAAATCACTTTCTTGTGATGTTTTTATCAGCTGTTTAGACTCTCATTCTTACGGCACCCATTCACTGCAGAGGATCCATTGGTGAGCAAGTGATGTAATGCTAAACTTCTCCAAATCTGTTGTGATGAAGAAAAAAACTCATCAATATCTTTGAGTAACCTTTCAGCAAATTGTCATTTTTGGGTGAACTATTGCTTTAAGTATATTTTATCTGTAATAAACACTTCAGTTAGCTCTGGAGACTATTAGAGTGTCTTTCTGCTCCTCGAATGCCAAATATTTTACTAGGCCAGAGAAATAGACCAAGAGACTTAAGCTAAAACGTGACTATTTGTGTGTCAGTGAGTCTGGTTGTCTGGGTATGCAGTGTTCTGCTTGAGCGGATCTGCATGGGTTCAGACAAGTCTGTTTTTGCATTATTAGAAGCTGTCCAGAGCCTGATAACACCTGTCTCTGACCTGTAATAAGCAAGTAACACCTGAAAAAAAGATCATGTATGTCAACAAGGTTAAGTGTGTGTGTGCTTATGTGACATTTCTAGCTTTAGGTTATGTAGTGCACGGATGCACATAAGATGTAAGTGAAGTTTTAAGCAGTTGTATGCATTTATATAAACATGTACTGTAGCTAAAATAAATCACTCACTAAACCATGTATTAGTACCTGGTTGGGATCTGGAAGTTGGCCTCTCGGTCGAGTCTGTATGCCACCTGGAGGGGTGTGGATCCTTCTACTTTTCTAACGCTCCTCATGGGAATGACATCCAACTGAAACTGCGTGATCAGATCAAACCCTGCCACACACAAATACATATGTGACCCTGGACCACAAAACCAGTCTTAAGTCGCTGGGGTATATTTGTAGCAATAGCCAAAAATACATTGTATGGGTCAGAATTATTGATTTTTCTTTTATGCCAAAAATCATTAGGATATTAAGTAAAGATCATGTTCCATGAATATATTTTGTAAATTTCCTACTGTAAATATATTAAAACTTATTTTTTGATTAGTAATATGCATTGCTAAGAACTTCATTTGGACAACTTTAAAAGCGATGTTCTCTACATAATTAGTTTTTTTTTTGCACCCTCAGATTCCAGATTTTCAAATAGTTGTATCTCAGCCAAATATTGTCCTATCCTAACAAACATACATACATCATACAAACATACATCAGTGGAAAGCTTATTTATTCAGCTTTCAGATGATGTATAAATCTCAATTTCGAAAAATTGACCCTTATGACAAATAATAATAAAATTGACCCTTATAACTAATAATAATGGAATTTCAATTACAATTTAGAATCAATTCAGATCAAATAAGAAGTCTTTCAGACTGTCCAAATATGAACCAAACTTCTGTTCACATAGGGGAAAAAACTTTAATTCAAAATTATTTAAAAATATCAAAATATCAGATTTTTGCGTCATAAAGCCTAAAACCCTAATCATTTCCGGAACAAAACAACAGAACTGAATAGAAAAAAACGAAACAAAACGGAACAGAAGAGAAGAGAACAAAACACCAAAAACAGTGTCAAAACATCAAAATATCAATTTCTGGAATAAGAAAATGGCAAAATATTTTAATATTTTAAAGCCTAAAATCCAATAGTCTCAAAAATAAACAAAAATAATGAAAAAGGAGACTACAATTTAAAAAATAAAACAAATTAAAAATGTCAATTGTCTACCCAGTACAATGTATTTTACAATAAATCTCATTAGATTCTCTTTATACCCAAATTATAATAGAAATTCCATTTGCCTTTGTGAGAAATTCATGCAATACAATATTTATAGCAACCTTAATATGCATTTATGCACATATCCAGCCCAAAAACATCCAATAGGTTTCTTTACATCGGTTTACTTCAGCAATTGTATTTAAACTTGCTAACTCCCCGTTTCCATCTGTGCACAGAGCAGCACATGTTTGTGATTTTAGGTTGCACCCTCCGCATTATTTGTTAAAAGCAAAGAGGTCACAACCAATTAAAATCTTGCTGAGCTAGAAGTGTTTCCACTGCAGAAATTGACTTATTTTAGAAACATTTTAATTGCCTCGTTTGAGATCTAAAGATGTCTTAAAACAAGGCGACTATCAAGTTCAGCATCTTTACCTAATAAAACAAACAGCTTCGTGCCACTGCATGCCCTGCATACAGAAAACTACTTAAGACTATTTATAGGTAAACAACGCCTGAATGAAGAGTGTTTTAATGATAATGCATAAAGCATGGTTTTAAATATTCATACTAACAGTCATGAGAAGTTCTCGAGTGTGCAGATATATATTTTTTTTTAAATAGAGGAGATGCAATGATATACAGTATACTGTATATATCATGCAATTTGTATAAAACATGCATTCCCCAAAATACTATATTGAATGCACACATATGATGAAAACACAGTTCACAACATGTTTTTTCACAGTGACTCGATTTTACCTGGAAGGTCATCTTGTCCATTCTTCATGGTTGGGCACACCGTGTCACCATCTAATCTGTTCAAATCCAGCTCTGAAAAATTCATAAGCGACATGAGTGTCATTTCAGGCCTGTCTGCAGCGACATATCACCAGAGAATACGCTCAGATAGTTAAACGCGTGACCTCATAACAGAAGACAAAGTGTACCACAAACACATATCTTTTACAACAACAACAACAAAATAATAATAATAATAAATTGTAATTAGTAACCAAATTAACAAATAATTTTATTGAAAAAAAATATATTTAAATATACAATTATATAAAAAGTATGCTTGAGAATGTCTAGCACACTTAGTGTATATATCACTTTTCAAATGTATTTACTTTTTTTATGTAAAGCCATTCAATGCTATGATGGAGAACATCAGCTCTATATTCCTTTCTATAGTTTATCATATGACACTCTCATGCACCCAAAAATAACCTGAGAAGGGACTTTAGCTGTTTTTTTTTTTCATATTTCTATTATTCATATAGAATTTTCTATTAAAGAAAAACTTACAAAACAGTGTTCTTTTAGTACAGCTGATACATTTTAATCTTAATGATATATATAAAATAATTAATATTATTGTTTTTTTTGTTTAATATTTTGAATCAGATGTCTATATGTATATATATATATATATATATATATATATATATATATATATATA